TTTATCTGCTCATATTATTAGTTTTGAGATGTAATTAATACAATAGTTCTAAAAAATAGCCCAATACATGTGTAGTTTCTACATACACATGTTCTTACATCTTTTAGCATTGTTTAATTTTTTCTTGCAAAGTTCTAGCAATTTTAATTGATGTACAACATATTTACTTAGTTTTGTTTGCTTTCTAATCTCAAATTAGAAGTGCATAAAGTAATAACTCTAAAACATTCCAATTATTAGTTTATGGATTGTTTCCTCGATCTTTAATTTTATAACTTTTTTACTAAATGCTTTGTTTTGTTTTAGGTGGCAAGAGCGATATAGATTAAAATGAAATTACATCCAAAAATTATGAAAGAAAGAAGTTTGATTTCGTATAACCATCGATCTCTAGCTTCTAATATAAAGTTATAGTATTTAGAATAGTGCCAGATTATTACTAGCACTAAGGCACCACAGTGCTGCGATCAGATTTTTGTATCTCATAGAGATACACATATAATACATGTGATGAAAGAGTACTCATGTATGGAAGTTTTTCTTGCAAAAATAAATGTCAATACAGCCAAGGAGTCTATAGTAGAGGTCCACACCAGAAATATATAATTTATAATTAAAAGCAATTTTGTTGTTGATTTGAAGTGTTGTGGCAGAGATTTTACAGCTATTTTTGACCATTGTTGAACACATTTTTGTTACCACTTCTAAATGTTTCAATAAGCGCCTATGCTGTTGTTTTGCGGTGTATTTGAAGCCACTTTTTGCTGCTATTTTTGGATGCGGTAAAAGTTATTTTGTTACTATTTTGGAATGCGGTTGAAGGCATTTTGATGCTATTTCTGGATGTGGCTAAAGCCACTTTTGCTGCTGTGATATTAGGTAAGTTTACTTGTTTACAATCTGCCTACGGTACTACCCCATCTCTCATATTACTTAATTAACTCATTCTCCAAGTATTATATATTTTTTTCCAAGTGTTCGATTCACTATCGTGTCTCCATAAGAACATAATAACTTAGTCTTTAATTTTCATCTTAGAACTGCATCAGGTTATACCATCTTTTTAGAGGCAAAGATTGAGTTATTAATAATGGAGTAAGCATTCTAGCTATGTATTTATTGGACTTTTGAATTTATGGAATGACTTAATACTATCATTTATTTAATAGATAAAGCTGTATTTGTCACTTTGAAAGTTGTCTTGCTGCTAACTCCATTATTTTTTTATTTGTTTGGCTTTTTTGGTATTGTCAATACTGTTGTCCTCTTTTAACTTTTGCTGATTAAAGTTCTAAGCTCAATAAATGAACTTTCTTTTTCAAACAGGCACACAATTACAACCATATGTGCAAAGAACGACAATATTTAAAAAGGTATGTCATTCACAGCTAAAATGTGCAAACATCTATTACACTTCCATTTATCCGAATGGATATTTGTTGCTAAAGAAGTTTTAAAGATGAGAGGGAAGCTTAAATAACATATACTGCCATTATCTCTTCTTTAAAGATGAGAGGGAAGCTTAATAACACATACTGCCATTATCCTATATTTACATACATGTTATTACTACAAGCATGGGAACATATTACTCCACTGACATAGAAACTGAAATCCAGGACTATGCAGAGAAAACATCTAGAATATTGTAAAAATCATTCTCATGATTGTTGTAATTGAACACTTGTGATTGAAATAATGTTAAAAATAAGATATTGATGGGCAACTGTGTTTCATAATTTTTTTAAAACAATTTTTCGAATATCGTTGAAATTTGAACTGTTTAGATCTGGTAGAAAGAGCATACCAGACTTTAAAAATATTTTAAAAAGAATCAATTGGATTGTTATTGCCCTAAAACATATAATACATTATGCTATATGGGTACTGAAACTTGATCTTTTTTCTGTGATTTTGCAGGTGTCAATGCAAATACTTTTGTTGCACTGCAAAGAAGAAGAACAATTACATTATGGAGAAAGAATCACCTTTTATGAATATAAGTAGTACTCTCATGGATATAAAAATTATGCCACTTTCGTAGTAAAATGCATCTCATTTTATCAATATGTAAATAGATTTATGTATATATGTGTAGTATTCTCATGATATGAATATTGTGCCACTTTCCAATAATGCCTCAATTTTCGTCTCTTTTTGCAATTTCATATTAAAATAAAATTATTCACAGACAGTGATTCCAGACTTCACAATATTGGATCCGTGCATAAATCTAGTATATAAAAAAATGTGATATCTTGGGAAAGTCGCCGACTATGGGGTTGATTAACCAATGGGAGGGTAGGAAAAGATTTTTTCATTTAAAAACATAGAATACTGCTTGCTCTATAATGGGAAGATAACTTTTGAACGCATTTATTTTATACTCAGCTATACGTATAATTTAAGAATATTTTTTGGAGTTAATAAATTGAAAAGTGTAATTTTACTATGGGAAATTAGCACTTTTAGTCCCTGATGAAGTGTTGAACTTATGATATTTTAGTCCCTAATGAAGTTGAACATGTGATCAGGGGCGGAGCTACAGTAGCAGGTGCGGGTTCGGGCGAACCCAGTGACTTTTTCCGGAATCTTGTATTTGTATTGAAATATTTACTAAATCTATATAAATATATACTGCCGAACCCAGTAACAAAAGAGGTCTTGGTTCAATGGTAAGGGTTGTGGGTTCGTTGGAAAAGATGAGGGTTCGATTCCCCCTGAAAAGCAATATTTTATTTTAAAATTTAGAACTCACACACTTAAATCCCTGGCTCCGCCTGATATTTGTTTAAACGCATTTAACTTTCAATTACTTGAAACTTTATTCTGTATTTAAGGACTTCGATTTATAAATCATCTAAAAATGACATATTTCCTATGTAAAGGAAACAAAGACATGGTCCTTGATTAATTAAAGATTAAATTAGGATTTATTAATAATTGAGGGATCAAAAGTACAATTATCCCTTCACACTATATGATTCATATCGTACTTTGTAAGGAACCAATAAATTGTATTTTTATAGCTAATTCTTTTTTTATTTAGCTAATGAAATGAATTAAAAACATAATTTTGGTGTTTTCTTCTCTGTTACAGGAGTCACGATATTTGGTAATTAAAACATAAGAAGAAGCATCTATTTTGGATCAAGTGCCAAAATCTCGACCGTTTCCAACACACTAGAAGAAGAGCTAGTGCACAAATCTATAGAGTTCATATATTGCTATAAAACGGATGTAGAATCTATATATGATTTTAAGTTAGTGGATAATAACTAAGAGCAAACATATCTTCAAATTTTTGTGAAACATATTTTTGAAATGTTGAAACTTGAAACGTATTAGCAATGTGCTTTTTCTAACATGGAAAAAAAAAAGAAGCTATAAAATTGTGGGCCGCAAATAGGGACACGTGTCAGACTACTTGACCAAAGTGAATAGTTTTACTTTAGACCCGCGTGGCATGGAATCAATCACCCGTTCTCCCATTTTACGAAGCTCACTTCGGTTGAGAATCAGTAGAAAGAAGGCGCCAATGGAGAAGATCAGAGATGTAAAAAGACAGAGAGAAGTAACTCGCTAATTTATTGAATTAATTTTTCACTTTGCTTCGTAAGTATTTTTTTTCCCGCGCTTTTCCCCCCAAGAATCAGTTGAAATTTTCTCTATTTTTTTCCTGTAATTAAATCTTTACTAATGATACTTAGATTCATGTATATCTGCAATTTTAACTGTTGCTATTCATATAATATGAGATTCCATGGAAATCAAGCAAAAAATCACTGTTTATAATTGAAATGGAGCCATTAAACTGCAAATTCAAGCTCATAGTGGTTTAGTTACTAAGTTAATAATATGACCGGCGAGCATACACTTGGAAAATTAGGTTTAACAATGTTAAATTGCATGATAAGCTAAGTTCTGAACTATGGGATCAATATCTAAGAAATTAGAAATTAAATCAATGAGGAAGAAAACTACTTAATTTACTCACTTATGATTAATGCGCTTCTGAATAAGTTGATGGTTTTAGCTTTCTAGAGTTATCCCGTTATTCTCTTTGCAAAATCGTTAACACGATGGTTGAGATTATACTATGATGTTCACAAAATTATCCAGGGGGAATCTGATTGTCCCAAAATGGAGGAAAATCAGAATTTTCTCTGTACTTTTCTGAATAGATAAAACATNATATATATATCACTATCCTGGATTTATGGTTCTTTTATCTTTTAGATTGAAGAAAATATTGTTGTCAAGTAATATTAGCACTTTTACTTAGTTTCTAAGGAGATAACCTTTCACTCTATTAAGTACATGAAGTATCAGCTTGAATTAGGACTAATGATGACTAAATCGTTTGAATGGGAGCCTTGAAGCAACGGTAAAGTTGTCTCATGGTTTCGGCTTGCATTAGATTAGGTTGTCTATATCATATCCCTTAGGAGTGCGGCCCTTCCCGTAGCCTTTGTGAACGCGGGATGCCTTGTGCACTGGGCTGCCCTTTTTTTTTTTATAACTAAATCGTTTATGCCATTTGGTGGTATAAAGAATTATTTGTAAGTAAAACCAAAAAAATTAAGATAGAGAAATTGCAGGCACTTAGAGTAGCATTAACAATGGATTCTGATATTTTCCTTTTATAGTGTGAAAATATAGCGACTAATCAACTTGATTAGCAAAGGTGATGACCGCATCATTTATTCCATTAAGTGCAGTAAGGAACTAGTTATACGTAAAAAGAAGCGATTTGGTTTAAGAAACTGTAGATGTATTTGTCATAATGTCTAATTAGTTGAAAGGAGTTTTGAAATGATAAAGTAGATTGTGATAGACAGCTTGGACCTCTGAAATTTAGCGAGATCACCCTGATAAACAGTTTTCTATGGTTAAAGACTCATCAATTGACATGCCAGACTTATGGAACTTGAACTTGCAGTCAAACTTCCGTCGCGAAGAATGAAAAGCCTCTCGCGAGAATCCTACTTAAAAATAAATAGACTGGTAAACTTTGTCCCATAATTTATTTGTCACAGTGAGGTCTCTTACGTGAAGAATGAAGAGCCTCTCACCATTGATATTAGATTGACTCATAGGAAAAATAGGTACTGATAATTTGATTGTGCATTTAAACAAGTACAAACACAGAGGTTGTGCAGCATGGAGTTTGAGTGTGAAGAAGAGATTTCACATATGCTCTCTCAGGGACCATAATCATCATGACTTTATTTTTAGTTTGTCTATGTACTTTCCTTTGATGATATCTTCTTGAGAAATGAAGTCAAGGAAATCACTGAAACTTCCTTCATTGTAGGACAAGATATGTTGTTCATTGACAAGGTCTGGTGCAGGTCTAACTTTTTTACCTAAAGCTAGACTATGAAGGCTGGCAATTGAAATGCGCTTTTGTTCTGAGTTAACTGCTGCTCGGTGGAGAACGCTTTTGTATCTGCCATTGCTCAATACTTCCATGTGATCTCCCAGCTGAACAATGAGAGCTCCTTCAATGACTGGAACTGCATGCCACTTTTCATCTCGGTCCATGATTTGCAAGCCCTGATGATTTTGAAGAATGATGGATAGCATACCATAATCTGTGTGTGGTGGCAATCCCAGTGTAAGATCTGGCTCAGGACATGCTGGATAGCAATTAACGGCCATGACCTGAGAGCCTTCTGCAATGTCTTCATGTAAGTAACTAGGGTTTAGTCCTAAGCTCTCAAATATCACTTCCATGAGTTCTTCTTGCAACTTTTGCGCTGCCTTTGTGTAATTTCCCATTTTCTCCCTGCATGATAAGCTGCTTTAGGCACTTGAAAAAATTATATCGTTCTTGAACAGTAAGAATATGCATCTATAAGATAGCAAAAGCATATTGCAAAGGAAAATGAGAGACTTACTTGTAACATGTGGGATTTGATGGCCACAGGTCAATCCAAGTTGAGATTGGATTAGCGTAGTGCTTGAGGAAGTCTCTCCAAAAGTGTACTTTGTCTTTGACATGATTTAGACTAGTACCATATCTTATGGGTTCATGAACATTTGAAGACAAGAGATGCTTTTTCTCTTCAGTTGGTAAATCGAAGAATTCGCTCGCAGCATCTATGGCATCTTTCATGACTGACAATGGGATTCCATGGTTAACTACCTGCAAAGTCATTTATCACATGCATGTTGTTATTTAATGTTCAGGTTGAAATTATGAAGGATGTTGTATTTCCTTCCTGTTAGACAACCTAAAGTAGCTGAATTCTTGGACACTTGTTTTAAAAAATTTGAAAATAAAGGGAAGAGAGAAGACAGAGGAGTTGAAGCCTAGAACCCTACCATGTGCATGACATGAAGTTCTTTCTTCTTCTTGATTTGCAAATGCTTTTTCTATATGCGGATGATCTAACATCTTTTTACTTGGTGTGTGAATATTATTCACTGGATCCTATCTTGAGGAACTTTATGTATACTGAAGTAAATAAATAGGGCAAGACTATCTTATTTTAGTGCGTGATTGCAGGTGACATGGACGTAACACGACAAGTAGGGTACCTGGAAGAAACCTAGTTCCTTGCAAGCCAGGTGTACTTGCTGGATTATCTGAGGCCGAAGAAGAGGGTGTTGCAGAAAGGATAGATCCACAACGGGCAAGCATGTGTCACACAGGGTTCGCTCGGGGCGTAAGGATGGGGGAAGAATGTAACGCCTGGGAACATAGGTTATCCTCTCTTCATTTAGTGTCATGGCACTAGTAAATGAACCATTTGGTGAAGCTGAGCTATCTCTCATTTTTCCAACCATATTGTGCTCTTTTGCCCTTTATGTTAATGGCTTATCTCCCTTTTTATAAGCAACAAATGTGAAGATAAGGTTGGAGTTTTTGATTATTTATCCAGTTATATATGTAACGAATATACGCACAATGTGATGGTACCATGACTATAACCAATGGAGAAAACTCATACATGAAGAGCCACAGAATGAACATTATAGGTTTGTAACTCTCATGTGAAGGTAATTGTCGGTTCCAATAGTTGCATCCGATAGAGTAACAGTGTTCAGATTCAAGTGGGGGTGAGCCCACGCGCCATGAGGGAGAATGGTGAGCTAATTTCCTATCAGGTGCATTTTTCCTACTCAATGTGGTGACGAGACGTGGAGGAAACAGAGTAAATTACTAAGGCGGCAATCCTCATAGTATTTGTTATTTTTTTTTTCCTGAATCGAAAAATCAAATGAAATAAAAAGTTAACATGTCTCTGGTTTGATTTGGTTTGAAATTCTTTTTTTTGGACTTGATTATGGTTTGAATAAGAAAATTTCTGTGAGCTGACTTTTAAATACAGTATATCTTTTCTCATAGACAATTCACAAAAATTCTGTGATTTTTTTCTTTAATAATTACTCCGTATATATTCATGATCCTTATTTGTAATGTTATCTTTAATATGATTATTCTGAATAATCCATTTTTGCTTATCTAATGGTTCTTAAAATTAAATGTAGCATATTATTATTTAGGTTTCATATTGAATTTTGTGTCCTATATTGAGAAATTTTTAGGCGTCATTAGCAGGTGTTGCGGAGAAAAATTCTCACATAATAATAATTTAATTGATAATAAGTTTGTCCGTTTGTTTAATTCTTGCCAAGAATATATTGACTAATAGAATTGTTTATCCATAATACTAATAGATTGAATGACGCGTTCGTATTTATGTTAAAAAAAATTGGAAAAACTAACACAGTCGATATGAAAAAACTGCTGCAGTGGATTTGATTTTCCTTTTTTTTAAAAAAAAAAATTTCTTCACGATAACAGAACTAAATCGAACTATTATGAATTAAAAGTAAACTTTTATTAACACATTATAGCCGTACCTCAATATAATAGCCGATAAATGTATCTTTTTGTATATTAATATTATATTATATAATAAATATATTTTTATATATAATCAATGTATAATTTTCATATATTTAAATAGAAATTATAATTATTTTTAATCGATCGTAAAATATGTTAAAAGGGTACGACGATATCACTGGACTGTAAGCGTTGGCCTTTGATGACTAGTCCGCCTTGATTTCTTTCTTTTTGAGTTTTTTTTTTTAATTTTATTTATTAGAAGTAGTATTTGATTTCAATGTAAAAATTATGAAATTAAAAATGAACAAGAATAATATTCCATTGAAAAGAATACATTTGGCGTAGAAAACACACAAATTCTTCAATTTAAAAACAAGAAATGTATAGAGAAACTAGAATTTTCAAGTAAAGAAAATAAAAGCCTTAAATTAATGTCAAAATCAACTACTACTAATTAATACTAATTTCATCTTTGGATAACTTAGTGAATTCATCTTACGAGTCTAAAGACTTTCGTTCAGTATTGACTCAATCTAATAGTAATTTATAAAATACATACGTTCAGTGTTGACTCAATCATTTGTCTTGTAACCAAAAGTACTTTGAAATGCAACACTACAATCTACTTTACACCTCTGACACACACACACTCCTTCAACAGTGATGGCCATTAGAATAGTGCTATAATATTAGAAGTATTAGTCCAAATAGCAGCTCACCCAACCACTTAAACTAAAAATAGCCGGCAGATATATAATATATGTATAATCTATATAATATGTGTATAATTTTATATAATCTATGTATACCGACTAAAAAAAGAAAAAAATTAATTCGACGGGCTATTTGTGTAAAATCTCATAATATTAATGCGTAGCTTGAAAGATGATTTCTTCCCTATTGCTCATCCATACNTATATATATATATATATACGTACTCTGCCATTGTGCTAATTAAGAACAATTTTGCAAGGGGATCTGTACTCTTTAACAATAGAAAAGCTATGCTGTGTACGTGTAGTGTGTACTACTCCCACATCTACATCATGGCTCTCAAGTCTCAGCTATTTCATTTACCCGACTGATCGATCGGGTCACATTGCCCCAGTTAATTTGTTGAATTCATCTGTACACTTATGTCTCAATAACGATACCTATTAGCCAAAATACATACTTTACCCGTAGATCTTTTTCCCAAATTTCTCTTATACACCTATTAAATACGTGAATAATATTACACATTAAAACTTTTAAAGGTGTGTCAATTACACACCACTTCAGTGTTTGACCACATCTGCTTAAAGATTGCTATTACACGCACCAGTCAGCATCTGACACGTGTCATAAATCGAGAAAAAAAATCACTTCCCCCCTCCTCATCTTCCCAAAGAAAAAAATACAGAAAAGAAAAAACCCTGTCCCTCCTCATCTTTCCAACCCCATCATCTTCTCCACCACCACCATACTACCACCAACCCTTCCACCACAAGCACCTTCTTCCCTAACTATAGATTCAACTCTTTGCCGATTTTTAATAAGTTTTAATAACATTCATCACAAATCCTTATACAAATTTCAAATTCAAGCTCAAAACCAAAGCTTCAAATTTGTTAATGGTGTTTTCTGAATTTCATCAAAATTAATCACCAAATTTTCAGCATATTTTTAGTAAATGTTTACTCAACAATAATCACGAATTCAAACTAATTTTTTAGGTCATGGAACACAAAAATCAACAAGACCCGATTAAATTTTCAAGCTTTATTAAAAGGTCAATAATGGTGATTTTTACAAGACCCAATAGCTCATCTTTTCTTCTTCTTCTTCTTTTTATTCTTAGTCATGGGGTTGGAGAGGCGAAAAATGAAGGGGTAGACAAAACTAGGATGGGGTTGGGGAAGAAGATGAAATGTGTGTT